CCCCGGCGGGGGGGGGGGCCGGCCACTGGCTCTCGAGCGCCCAGCGCAGGCTCAGCTTCGCCTCGGCCCGCAAACTGTACGGAACTTTGCAGGACGTGTTAGCCTCCCCGTGTGGCTTGCTGCAGGACAGGCGGAGGAACCTTAGGGATAAGTCACCTTTTGCACCCTCCAGTAGGGAGCAGGTCCTTGTTGTTTAAGTGGACATTTCTCAGGTGGACATTTTGAATTCCTTCCAGTCAGGAATTTGGTCCCCAACTTGTCTAGTCCTACCCCTGCCCACACCCTCCTTCTCTCTTTAGGAGCAAAAATACATTTTGTCCTTAACTTTAAAACTGCCACACTCTTTTCTGTCTTTGACTGATTGCCAATTTTCAGAAAACTAAATTACCCAAAACGTCAACTATTATGTACAGTACCAGGCTCGGGGGAGTTGCTCAATAAATACTAGTCGAATGCATGTCCCCCTAATCATGCTACTTGGTTCTTACCATTAAATGCTCCTTTACTGATGTGACTCACCAACGCTATAGGGAAAATGAACAACAAAAATTAAAGCATTTATCTAGATTTGGATCACACATCATAATGAAAAAAGTACAGCGTTTATATTGAATAGTTAGAGTACATAGTAGTAACATTTAACTCTACCAAGAATACCCTTCCTGTCATCTATGCTGAGACGTAGCAGACACTCTGTAAATATTAGCTGAGTAAATAGGTAAAATTATGGGAAGGGAATTTGGAAAAGTTCCTCAATCTCTTCCTCCCCTTAAACCTTTTTCAAAATACATCAAATATCTGCCATATTCTCCACTCCTCTTCCTTAGTTGGGAGAAATATATTAAAAAACATTCTCAGAGGAAAATGGTAACTCATTTTTGCAATAAAATAAATACGATTAACTGAGAATGAACATTAAAAATCTGTTATCTGCTGTAAATGAACTATAATTCAATAAAAATTTTTAAAAAGGAAAAAAAGTCTGTTATCTGGGACAGGTGGCTCATGTGTTTGGTAAAGAAAAGAAGAAATAAATACCTCCACCAAATCCTATAACACTGTCACAGCATTTACCCTTATAAGCCAACTTGTTTTTTACCTATAAATGTTTCTTGGTTAAAGTGGCTCAGGGTCACATCCTTGGAGGGTGAGGAATCAGAGACAAAAAACAAAAATCAGAGGCATAATTGGATGCTGGATCAATAATGAAACATTCATGACAGATGGCATAGTATTGCTATTTTATAATTATAGTATTTATTAATAACACATAACTACTCTGCCTATTGAAATGTTCTTCATTCTTTCTGTGATAGAATACAACCTCTGCTCTGAAGCCTTCTGTTCTCATTGAAAATTAGTCATCCCATTTAATATTATTTGGTACATGGAACCTTATTCTTATGGCACTTTTGACTTTCATGCAAAAGTCAAAGTCTTATGGCACTTTTGCCAAAGTCTTATGGCACTTTTGACTTTCATGCACTTTTGACTTTTATACTAATACCAATGTTTATTTATACTAATTAGATGGTGGAGGTCTACAGTGTTATGTTACCTAAGTCTGTGTCCAGTACACAAAGGGTCCCTACTAAGTATTTTCTAGAGGAATGTTTAGGGACTGACCAGTGTGTCCAGGAATAAAAATCCTTCTAGGATGCATTTTCTTTTTTACCGTAAGCTCCATTCAATTTGTTGTAACTAATGAAATCAAGTGCAATGGCCACAAAAACCACATGTCTAAAGCAAAGATGGTCCCAGGTACCCTGTGCCCAGAGGCGAAGGGGCTGATAATGAAGGCAGATGTTCCACGTGAGTGATGGAGGTGGGAACCCAGCCCCAAAGGAGAGTACAATGGACAGGTGCTCTTCCTGTCAGTCACGCTTCAGTGACAGCCTGTTTAGGAGAGCACAGCATCATCCACCAGACAATATTTATTGAGTACCTCCATTGTGCCAGGCATTGTTCTAAGCACAGGGGTTATATTAGTGACCTTTCAATCCACTTTCAGACTCTCTTCAACCATGGCTAAATGCCTGGGAGAGGAAAAGAGATAATGGAAACAGGCATGTTCCCAGTCACTGAGACTGTCTTTGCCCCTCACTGCTGGAGCACTCAGAAAGAACCACGGAGAGCCTGATGGGCCACAGTGAGTACAAAGGCTCCAGATTCCAAAGTGGACGAAACTCACCAAGCAGGTTATTAATCTTGATTCTGTGATGGTTGTAATTGAGAAACAAGGAATCAATTCAGACCACATGCTGGAAATGAATGTGAAAGATGTTACAAACATCCAAGAATTCTGTGTTGTCTTGAGGAGTGGGAACTGAGTTAAGATTGACTGAAAAAAATAAAGAAAAACTCAAGTGAGTATATGGATATGATATCATACTCATTTTATGTCTAGATTAAGGTATTAAATTTTAAGCCCCAATTTGTTTGTTATTTTAAACTCTCTATAAGACATTTGATGACATAAACCTCTGTGCTTGAGTCACCACATACCATGACTCTACCTAATGTCCTAACACGTGTAAGGAAGCTCTCCAGATAATTAATGATTGGTGCCAAATTATACTATTGGCCTAAAAATTGAATTACTGATATTGTTGTGAATAAAGAGATGATGATTATGATGATAGTAATAATAAGTAGCCCTCCCTGGTTTACTCTGTGCTAGACACTGTCTTAATTATTCTTTATATTTAGTCATTTAGTCCTCACAACAACCCTATGAAATACTATCATCCCTATTTTACGAATTAAAAACTGAGGCACAGAACAAAAGAAGTTCAATAAAGAGTGTCTTTTGGATTTTATGAAAATCGATCTTAAAATGAAGATAAATTTGACCATACTTTTCTTAGAAAAAGATAGTGGGGACTCACTCTTATTCTTCCTCTGCCTCTCTGGCCTTTTTGCTGTTCCCCTGATACCCCAAGGTCCCTCTTGCCTCTGCTGTTCCCTCTGCCTGGAAGGGGCTCCCCTGCCCCATATATGCGACTTGCTCTTTGCTCCCTTCCAGTCTCCGCTCAAATGTTCCATGTCATTGACATGTTCCCTGACCACTCTGTAGAAAAGAGCATTCCCCTCTTTGATACTCCTATCTTCCTTACCCTGCTTTATTTTTTTTACTACAATAGTTAATTTTATTTGTTCAAGGACTCATCTTGCAAGCATTAAAGCAAGCCTGGGCTTTGATTCTGGGAGCCCAGATTCCCATACTTAGGAAGATAACAGCAAAAACTGCTCCATGTACATGGATGAAAACTAAAGGCTCATGGTTAATCACACTGTAGTTTTTAAGTTTCTACAGCCTAGAAGCCAGAAGTCACCGGTCCTTTAGGTCCCACAGGGTTTCTGCACTTTTATTGAATTGGGCAAACTTATCACTTACCCTGCTTTAAATACCATAAAGTGCCATAACACGTACCCCTCTACTGACTTGTTTGGTATAGTTATTAATTTATTTGTATATTTTTCATTTCCTCTCACTAGTGTGGAAATGTCAGTGCCATGATGAAAGGGACTCTGCCTGTTTTGTTCACCATTGTATCCCCAGCTCCTGGAAAAGTATTTGGAATTAATCAATAAATAAAATAGTTTAAAGAAAATAACAGTACAGCCCAACTACTAGATTTACCTTTCAAAAATTAGTTTAACATTTTGAAAGTTTTAATCAGATAAGAGAAACATATTGCTTTGTTTGACAAAAATTTTACATTAGCTGCTTATAACTGACATACTAACACATGCCAAGTTTAATTACTTCACCTAGTCTTTATCTGAAAGAACCCTAAATAACTCTAGAATCTTAAATTATTTCCTTCCTTCTTTAAAGTGAAGGGGTGAACATTTTCTGCTATTGTTTTCTTTCATCTATTCCACCAGATACTGACTAGATAAGTAAGCAAATACAGCTACTCCTCACCTACATATTCTATTCAGTGGATGACCCTGTGCTTTGGATTACATCATGTCAATTGACCCTCACAAAAACCTTTATGAGGAGATTTCCGGGAAGATGGCGGAAGAGTAAGATACGGAGATCACCTTCCTCCCCACAGATACACCAGAAATACATCTACACATGGAACAACTGCTACAGAACACCTACTGAACGCTGGCAGAAGACCTCAGACCTCCCAAAAGGCAAGAAACCCCCCATGTACCTGGGTACATCAAAAGAAAAAAGAATAAACAGAGACAAAAGAATAGGGGCGGGACCCGCACCAGTGGGAGGGAGCTGTGAAGGAGGAAAGGTTTCCACACACTAGGAAGCCCCTTCGCGGGCGGAGACTGTGGGTGGCAGAAGGGGAAAGCTTCGAAGCCGCAGAGAGCGCAGCCACAGGGGTGCACAGGGCAAAGCAGAGAGATTCCCGCACAGAGGATCAGGGCCGACCGGCACTCACCAGCCCGAGAGGCTTGTCTGCTCACCCGCCGGGGCCGGCGGGGCTGGGAGTTGAGGCTCGGGCTTCCGTCGGAGCGCAGGGAGAGGACTGGGGTTGGTGGCGTGAACACAGCCTGCAGGGGGTTAGTGAGCCACGGCTAGCCGGGGGGGAGACTGGGGAAAAGTCTGGACCTGCCGAAGAGGCAAGAGACTTTTTCTTACCCCTTTGTTTCCTGGTGCGCGAGGAGAGGGGATTAAGAGCGCTGCTTAAAGGGGCTCCAGAGACGGGCGCGAGCCGCGGCTAAAAGCGCGGACCCCAGAGATGGGCATGA